AGTTAGCGGTGAGTTCATGTTATCTGAGTTCGAGTTACACTAGGGATTCTACAGTATTTTTTGAGTTTATTTGCAGTTGATCAGTTAAGAAAAATAAAGTCCCACCGCAAGCAGACAGATTCTCTCCTCCCCTAAAGACAATAAGTAATAAATGAGTAGGAATTAAGAAAGACCAAAACAGTCAGTGTTTTCAGTTCAGTCCTTTCGATTCAATCATTGAAGACAGGATGCCACTCTCTCTTAATTCTCCCTTGGCCTACCCCTCGATAAAGAATTACAACCACTTCCGGCTACTTAACTTAAGCATTGAAAGATGTTTATCGCTTTTCCTTTTATTTCTAACATCAGAATATTAGGAACGCCCTGTGATCTTAGTTGTTCCTCTTCGTGTTGATTAATCATGATCAAACTCCATTCACGATGAGTTTAATGGTTTCGGTACAGTATATAATAAGCAAGTTTAAATTGATCTAAGGTTAATCAGCTGGTCAATATGTCTCTTATTTTAAAAGCATATTTGTCACTAAATTATACCGTTTCGAGTTTTAATGAAGGAAATACCATCATTATTTCGATACTGACAGTCAAAAAAGTCAGAACTCGGTGAAAAATGTACTTGTCGTGATTTGTATAGACTGACACTTCCGTTACAGGTCTTACAGGAAATAAATCCTTATATACTTTCACCATGAGTTCAATGGTTACGGTTCAGTGCTTGGTGGTGCTTGATTTCATGTGGATTGACACTTTAGTCGACCCCAGCTAGAGTTACGGGAAATAACGTGTGATTGGGATCTTTAATCCTAACTTCAACTTGTTGCGTGACGGAGCATCTTACACCGAGTGGTATCAAGAAAAGCCTAAAACGAGCAAATTTCATTGAATAAAACAAGTAAACAGAAGGGGAACATTGTTTTTTTCCTTTCATCGAAGAAAATGTGAATTTTATATATCAAATCTAAGCGCTTACAGATTGCCAACGGTTGGAAGAATAACCGGCCTTAAAAGCCTGCAGTCTCTCAACTTCGTCTGGCGCAACTGGTGGCAGAACTTGACAATTCTCTCGGTCTCATGAGTTGGGCTGCCTATGATGCAAAGAGGTTCAGTTCCACAACTGTACACTTACCTGGAGTCATACTGAAGGCGCCTCCAAAATTAAAAAAAGCAAGATGTTTATAAATTAAATTGGCAAGCCAGTCCGTACACGAATCGCATATTAACGGTAAACAAAATTTAGGTGAGGTACGTTCGGGAGTCGCATCTACCAAAACAGGTATTAAAGATGGGTTTGACGAAGACGAAAATGCATTTCTGTCTGGAACATTCTTTTTCAGGTGATCCCGTTTTTCCGGACTGGAAAGTTTCCGCTAAATTAAAGATCATGATCAAAAGTGGTGTTTAATTCATTTACCCTCCGCCTGCCTTTAACCGGAATTTTCAAAAACTGTTCGTTAACCATATTGGTGTTCTCTTTTTTCCTGTTTGGGTATATGTTACAATAGCAGGGTTTTCAACTGTTTTGTAAAGTAGCGGACATACTTCTGAAAGCACCGGACGTGAATTTTTTCTTGGCGCCGTAAGGCGCGTCGCGAGCGCCGAAGGCGCAAGCACCTAGGGGGGGTCTGGGGGCATGCTCCCCCAGGAAATTTTTAAAATAGAATACTCAGAAACGCCATTTCCAGCGTTTCTGGAACCAAGGAAACAGTTTCCTAGGCAATGCTGGCGCTCACTAAAATTCTCTTTAAAAAGTAAATTACTGAATGAAAATGGTCAGTTGGTAGGGGGAGGGGAGGGAGAATGGCAACAACAGAATTTTGTTTTGCCTGGGGATTTCCCTCAAGACTTGGCCGAGCAGGAATGAGAACGAAATAGTCACTTCAATTTCGTTTAAATGAAGAGGGGAAACCAATAAAATATCCCGCCGCTCAATAAGCAAAGAAAAAAGAGTTATATGGCCGTTTTGAAGAATGTAATTGATTATTCTGTTATCCTCTAGTCAGTATGTTCATGAGATGCCTTAGTAAGAAAAATATATAATACAGTAGTGAAAAAAAATCGCCAATATTGATCTCAAAGTACCGGACGTGGAATGGCAAACGACCGGACGAAACGTCCGGCCTCCGCCCTCAAATGAAAACCCTGCAATAGGTGACAAAAGTTTTATTTATGTTGCTGTCGGGGTGTATCCGTACAATGGTCACATGATCATGTTTATAAAACACTTGTGAATCATTAAAGAAGTCACTTTCAGGGCGCAGTCCGCAACTAGCGGAAAAGGGATACTAGAAGAAGGCAAGTTGGTCATATTAGTCGGTTCATTCCTTTGTAAGTATAATTTGTTTATATTATTTCTCTGTTGTTTGTGATTATTTGGTCGATTATTCGGTCAAAGTAACCAAATCGAAAATTAGCTGAATCAGTGTTAAAAAAGATACCGCCAAACATAATGTCAGAGCCTGCTCGATATTAGCAGGGGTGCAACACTATGACAAAAAGGGAAAAAACCCCAACATAAAAAGAAGTTGTTATAACAGTTAATTAAGCCTAGTAGTACTCACGTACGACGAATTCGATCTGGTAGCTTAAGCCTAAAATGTGTTTAGGAACGCAAATTGATGAATGCACTTTGAAATAGTTTGTTGGTATTTCCACTACAGTGGTACAATTTTCTCTTACGATAGAATTTCGACATTAAAGAGGGTACATCCCTAGCTATTGATCAAAGATCCCAAAGCTGATTAAGCAAGAATTCGAACTGCCTTTTGAAATTAACTATTTTTAGTACGTCGCGCTGCGGCAATGATCATGAGTAGATTAAGAAACTTGAAAAGGGCGCCCATTTTGGCGAGAGAAGCACTCAGTTCTCTCAGAACGATGGAGCACGAATAATTTAGTAATAAAATATAGGCTCAAACAATATATTAATCAATGTGGGTGCAAAATTGGACTCAACATTAATTATATCTCTAGATTGCCGTAAAACGTTTCTTGGTCACTTTCACTATGAAACACCTAATTTCTTCACTGCGTTAAAGCGTAGCGAGAACAAAAAAAATCATTAGCAGAGGAAATGAAAGAGAAAGAGCTGGATTTCGAAAGAGAGAGCTCCGTTTGGGTTTCTTTACGATTTCAGTGATGACAAAGTAATTCGTCCCTTTTTCTTTCTTGTAGAGTCGGTCTTATTATTCTTGGTCGGCGAAGCATTACAACAGCGAAACTTGTTCAGCAACTGCAAGAATCATTTTAGAAAAGGTCAACATGAGTTCTAGTTCAGCTTTGTGGTTATTGCTACTTTGGGGTAAGTTGAAAGCACCCGTGCACGTGACTTTTTTTTTTTATAATAGCTTCCTTGTTTATCAAGGATAAGACTAAGTTGGATTAAATTACGTGTTCCGCTCATATCGACGAACTAGTAAGGCGTGACCCTTAAATAGTATTTCCTATTTGCTTCAGTCTTTTAACTAAAACAAGTAAAACAGGTATTGAATATATGAGATTATATTTTCACTTTACGGTTGACAAAGTTTGCTGTTAAGGAAGCATAATGTTATTTAACGGTACAGACCAGGACTGTCTAAATCTGGTCTAAATCTTATCCTGTAGTGAGTGATATGGTGAAGGTTTTCTTTATATCAATAAGTGTGTGTGGTTAAATAACTAAAATACTTGAATTAGAGGAGAACTGAACAGGTGCCCCTCTCGTCCCTTTAAACTGCATAAGCGCTAAACGGGAATGTGAAGCGGGAAAGGATATGGTCTTTTTACTAAACTTTGGGTATGAAATCATGAGGTATATTTCTTCGTCACTTTAAGAACCGGTGCCAAAGTGTGAATTAGGGTAAGCGGGTTACGGTTATAGGGGGGCCTTCCCGACAAGCCTCTGCGAATAGTGGATTGTTACGCGTTTCTGGGAATCTGCTCACCTACAACTTCCCTAAGACGACAATTTGTCCAGGGGTACACTCCCAGATCTCTGTACAGCTTCAGTTGTGCCTGTATAACGGAATTGGTCAAGCTATTAATTACTAAATGCAAATTGAACGTCAATATAAAACGTTTGACTGTTGACAACGTAATCATGGTTTAAACGAATATGTCCAATTTCACACCCTAACAAGAAACGGTGTTTGCTCCTAAATTATCGGTAAATTCGCGTTGAGAATATAATTATTTTATAAGAATATCGAGGCTGAAATTTGCAAAATTTTAAGAATATTATAACAATAAACCCGAGGTCGAGATTTTCGACAGGATATAATTTTATAATGTTGTTTTTCTGGTCTAGGTTAAATATTCCTATTTTCTGCCGAATTTAGGCTTAAATATTCTTTTATTATCCTTAAATTGAGTGATCCGAAGCTTATGTCATTTCCGTTTTAGCATGTATTGCATAGAGTATCAAGGTACCGGTTCAACGAGCTGTTATCAGATTAGCACTGAAGATTTGGCATTAGTTAAAGTGGAGTTTTTTTTGAGAGTGTTTGTTAGTTTTCCCGTTTAGAGAAAGAAATAATTAATTATACCACTTAAGTTAAAAACACATTTTTGATTAACTATACTGAAAGGCCTTGAAAGGGAAAACCCCCTCTAGTAATATGGCATCGCCATTTCTCTCCCACTGAGCAGAACTTGAAAATATAAGAGGAGATATACGTCTTCCCTTTCAGAGACAAAAAAAAGGACGCTTGACCATCTGAACTATTTAAGCCGGAAACTGTAAATATGCGCTGGAACTATACTGAAACCAAGCTTTCAGCGAATCTTTTGGCTCAGGCAAAGATCATGCAAACGGATATGAAAGTACTTTCGATTTAACGTTGATCTTTCTTTCGTTAGCAAGATATTTTCAAGGTTTCATCGAAACAGTTTATAGGTTATTCAGTCTTTAACTCTCTGTGAATTTACAAAAAATTAAATGAATTTATGAAATATAACTACAATAGATTGATCGTGGAGGGTTTTACATGTAAAGGGGGCTTCATGAATCCAACTTTAGCGGGGCCTTTAGTGTCCGGGTGAAAGCGATAACTATTATATTACAGTTCTTTGCACCAAAAACTGACTAGTTTGATAGTTCAAAACTTTTGTATGTAAGATGAAAGGTATCGCTTTGCCGTTGCTTGAGAATAGGTTATGTACGGAATGTCAATGCAAATTATCGTTAGGCCATTTCTAGTGCCGGTCTACAGCAGTTTCAATTAAGTACGCTCTGAAACAGGCGGTTGTTAAGTGTTTTACTGAGCTATGTTGTCTAAAAGATGATAAGAGTCTGATAACTGTCGGAGACACGCGAAGGCAGACTAGAGTATACACTGACAGTTACGTATTAATATGATGTGTCTAATTTATTATATATCGGTATTGGTTTGCTTGTGAAAGTGAAAGTGTTATATTTTTATTTTATGCTCAGGGGCACCCAACGAGGATATAGTTCAAAACCACTTAACATAGCATTGTTGAACGTATTTTAGAGTATTCAAACGGTAGATAGAGGCATATTTTTATCCCCTAAAAACTTTTCATCTGTTCGGATTTCCTAGCTGAAAGTCTAGTGATCCGAAAATTATAGGGATAAAAACTTACCTTCTCGAAAGGAAAAGGCTCCCGAAAATTCTAGGTGGCCTTTTTTAGGGTCAAAATACGTTAAAAATGGGTAATTATACCATTTTGTATATGTTCGAAAATCCTAGGAGAGGCAGGCAAGCAAGAAATTTTACAACAAAATAAATGCTCCGAAAATTCTAGACCTCAAATCGTCTTCCGAACAGATATTTTCCCGAAAATTGCCGTTGGGTGCCCCTGTATGCTCTCCCAACAGGAAATTTGCTTCATTACACATCAGGTAGGAATGATTGTTTTACATGTTTCTCCAATCGCATGAATTCCTCACTATGAACGGGAACTTCCTGTCTGTATAGTTTTCCCGAGAAATTCCCTTTCCTGGTGCATTTCCAGCAAAGTATAATCATGGTAATAGCTAGACTGTTCACAGGGCAGGCCCACTGTTGCGTATTGTGTTACGGGTGGCCATCTTGGATGAGTTTCAAATCAACTTAGGGGGAGGGGGACAGTTTGGAAGGAGGCGGGAAAAATAACTGGAAAGAATTTTTCCCGCCTCCCGTCCCCGGCTGCGTCAAAATTTCGACGCCCGTCCCCTCTGTACATATATGAAACCAAGATGGCCACACGTACCGCGCCGGTAAGCGCTCGATCCTGACGATCTTACGCAAAGGGGACTGTGAAAAGTGTGGGTAACAGCGACCTCCAAGAAACCAGACATTTTTGCTATCGATGCAGTCATTTTACAAGACAGGAAACAAAGTAAAAGCAACAATTTACTCACTCAGGAGCCAATCCTGCTCACTGTGATCGAGTGAAACAAGTTTTGATGCTGGATACCACAGGGTAGGCAGCCTCGTCAAACTTACAATAAAACAAAAACAGGAAAAGAAGTTTGAGGCTTATACAACAGTAAAAGGAATTGACTACTCAATAAAATAAACTGAGACATACTTACTGAGAAGCTCTCGTGAACGTTCAGACGCAAATAAGTTATGGTATTTACCGCCCTCTCGTCATTTAATGGCGTCGGCATAAATATCTTACGCACATTTTTTTTTTACATTTTGCCATGTCCGCATTTTTTATTTATTTGTTTTATTTTACTTTTTGTTCCTTTTCATCTCAGGGTGGGATCCGACTGTTTAATATCTCATCAGTAAAGAATAATTAATTTTAATGGTAAAATTCCATAGTGAACTGAAAAAAAGACCCTTAGAGACCCTTTAAAGTTAGTATCACATCATTTTTATGACATATTTTTCAGGTTCTGCCATAACACGGCAAGAGCGTTCCATTAGAGGTGATATTCAGACGCTGGATTGTAATGCAATAAGAAAGGACCCAAGCAAATACTATGAAATGTATTGGAGAGTAAAGGGAGCCGACGGTGAAATCGGTTACTGTAACAGTGACAGGAAATGTATGGAAACGAAAAGTAAGCTTAGGGATAAGCTTCTGGAAGACAAGAGGATTCAGGTTGTAAGCATTTCCATTAGCACCTTGAACATAAAACGCACCTTGCCACAGAAAACAACGGGTCACACTGTGACCTTTACATGTGAAGTGCACAAAACTGACAACACCGTCGATATATCTGAAGTCACGATCGTTTATTCTTTAGAGTGTAAGTAAGACTGTACGCAGAATTTTTAATAACAATAATGATTATAGTGATACTGATAAAGACGACATTGATAATGACACTGAAAATACTATTGTATTTTTCTTCAAAAAGAAAGAATTTACCATAATGATACTTTTTGCGGCTCAGTTCATTCCTTTTCTTCGTGCTGTATACTGTACATATGTATTACATGTATTGTTCATCGAATCATTCATTGAACATTTGGCTATAGCTATAGTCCAGGTATTTTTCGTTTTGCTGGCTAGTTTTGCCGTTTAGAGAAAGGTGTACTTTTTACCCGGTTAAGTTGTATTGTAATTACAGATTTTCAACACACAAGTTATATCCTTTTCAAAAGGCTCAACCTCGGGTTGAAGATATTCTTTAAAACCTCGATTCTTATAAAAGACCGTGAACTGCCACTGGGCTTAACAAAGTCAAACTGTGTTCCGCGCGAGGGTGTGTTGTCAGTTCTTTCATTAAAAGTATTATATGCAGTGGCTNACTGAAAAAAAGACCCTTAGAGACCCTTTAAAGTTAGTATCACATCATTTTTATGACATATTTTTCAGGTTCTGCCATAACACGGCAAGAGCGTTCCATTAGAGGTGATATTCAGACGCTGGATTGTAATGCAATAAGAAAGGACCCAAGCAAATACTATGAAATGTATTGGAGAGTAAAGGGAGCCGACGGTGAAATCGGTTACTGTAACAGTGACAGGAAATGTATGGAAACGAAAAGTAAGCTTAGGGATAAGCTTCTGGAAGACAAGAGGATTCAGGTTGTAAGCATTTCCATTAGCACCTTGAACATAAAACGCACCTTGCCACAGAAAACAACGGGTCACACTGTGACCTTTACATGTGAAGTGCACAAAACTGACAACACCGTCGATATATCTGAAGTCACGATCGTTTATTCTTTAGAGTGTAAGTAAGACTGTACGCAGAATTTTTAATAACAATAATGATTATAGTGATACTGATAAAGACGACATTGATAATGACACTGAAAATACTATTGTATTTTTCTTCAAAAAGAAAGAATTTACCATAATGATACTTTTTGCGGCTCAGTTCATTCCTTTTCTTCGTGCTGTATACTGTACATATGTATTACATGTATTGTTCATCGAATCATTCATTGAACATTTGGCTATAGCTATAGTCCAGGTATTTTTCGTTTTGCTGGCTAGTTTTGCCGTTTAGAGAAAGGTGTACTTTTTACCCGGTTAAGTTGTATTGTAATTACAGATTTTCAACACACAAGTTATATCCTTTTCAAAAGGCTCAACCTCGGGTTGAAGATATTCTTTAAAACCTCGATTCTTATAAAAGACCGTGAACTGCCACTGGGCTTAACAAAGTCAAACTGTGTTCCGCGCGAGGGTGTGTTGTCAGTTCTTTCATTAAAAGTATTATATGCAGTGGCTCTTTAGTATAAACCCTGATTAAAGAAACTTTACATGTAAATAAAATCTGCTATTTCGTTACAAATATATTCCAAAACGAAAGCAGTTAACTGCGGCCTTCGCTGGTCACAAGGCTGAAATGCACTCTTCATTCTGTCCTATAAAGAGAAGTAACATACTGAATTTGTGATTGTTAATTTTAGGCCCACAAGCAATTCCATCTCCTAAGGTAAGTAGTTTTAACATTTTTTTCTCTAAATCTTTAATTTTCATACTGATGCCGACTTGTGATATGGTGTGATTTGCTGGGTGTTGGAGTTCACTGGGGGTCTATTTTCTTAGCCAGCTTCAATTCTGTTTGTGACGCCGTCCTAGCGAACCACAATAATGGCGAAACAGCCGCTCTGTTTTGGGTTCTTTCGTGTCCTGTTGATGTCTTGCAAAGTCAATTTTCGCTTTATATTACGATCAGCTGTGACCGAGTTTTCGTCAGAAATAGCTTCAGTTTTTCCCGACTCTTCTGAGTCGACCACGATAAAATCGTGAAGTTCCACAGAAATGGGTGTCACTACCCCCGAACGTGCCTGAGTGTCAGCTGCAAAATATCTAGAACAGGACACTCTTTTAAACCGCATAATCCTTCTAAAACAGAGGCCAAGCCTGGACGAAAGATGTCACCCAAAACTTCCTTCAAATCCCCGCACCAAGGCCATTTGTGGGTTAAGTTTGATGTCGGTTCTCTCCTTAGTCCAAGAGGCTTTTCTCCGGGTAGTCCGATGTTCCCCTTTCCTCAAAAACAAACGTTTCCAAATTCCAATTCGACCAAGAATCAGGTAGACGAAGAACCCCTAAGTGGATGTGTTACAGCCTCTAAATCGTTATTTCTATTCATGTGATGTATTTATTTTATTTATTTATTTATCCTTCATTTATCTATTTATGTCAATACCTCGAGTTCCCAGGTCCAATGATCTGTCTGTTAGTAGTAATCAGCCCCTGTCTTCGTCCATTTTCCTCATGCTTTTGTTTCACGAAAAAAACCTTTTTCAGTTTCAGCCCAATGACAGCGCTCGCGAGGTAAACACCACATTAGGTACAATTGTTGGCAAGCTTGAGACGCTACCAAATGGCAAAACTGTGTACGAATATCTCGGTATCCCTTATGCTAAACCACCGCTTAATGAATTGAGGTTTGCGCGTCCAGAATCCTTTCAACCTTGGTCAGGAAAAAAGGAAGCGAAGGAGTTCGGATCAGCGTGTCCACAACCGCGCTTTGATACACATAACTTTAAGAGGGAAATAGGAGAAGGTAAGAGGCGTATAACAGTATTATATTATCGGATGTGAAAGCTCTCACGGACGATCTTTGACTTTGATCTTTAATCGGTTAATTGCCAATAGTACAGGCTAATCATGGCAATGGATGGCACGATTAGGCAGTAGGTGATGACAGATAAGTTTTGCCTGTGGACTTAAACACGGGCAACGAGGGAGCGATAACAGCAGTAGATGGAAGACTGTTGCAGACAGGTATACATCGGGGGGACAAAGAGTAATAAGAGGCATCAACAAAAGCGGGTAAAAGGTTGTATGTCTTACTATGGCACATTCAATGATTCAAAGCTTAATCCATAAATTCAACGAACGCTACGCACGGAAAGAATATCTGCAAGTTAGGGCTCAAAACGTTTAAGATATACCTTCACTTGACTCCACACTACGTCATATTGGTTCCTTTCATTTCACGTGAAAAATACTTGGGTACATTATTAAAGATGGACTAATTGAAGCACATGTTCAAGGGAGTAGAGAGGTAAGTTAGGTATTGTGCTAGGTCAAGCCCGGGGAGGAGGGGCGGGGGAGAACTTGAGCCGCTGAAAAACCATGACCCTGACAAAGAATTCCCAAAACAATACTTACTTATGTTTAGGACAACACCCGCAATTTTATTACCATGTTTAGGACAAAGGAGAAAATGTACGCCGTCTTTTTTTAGAGCCATTTATTGTCAATTGCAATAGAACAAAATTACGTTATAAGCTTTTGTATACTTGAGAAGGAACGAAATTTATCTTGCAAATCAAATCAATCGCGCAGGCAATACCCTGTTGACAGACTCACACGATATATACCTTGTTTAGGACAGAGAGGTCAAAAACCACACCCTGTCCAGTGGCATATCTTCGTATAGGCCTTAAAAGGGGATACCTCCCCGGGAGGTCAAGGCAGGTTTGTGACGCACGTCCTGTTTGAATCTTCATCATCATCATCACAATCATCATCACCACCATCATCAACTAAGGAAAAGACGTGAGACATGTACGGTCTTCTCAAAACGAGACGGTAACTCCCTTACAGCAGAAATTCCCGTTGTCTTATTTTACTGATATGAATTTTTTTTCTTTTTTTTTTTCAGAAAATGAGGATTGTCTTTTCTTGAATGTGTTTGTGCCAGCAACTAGTAGCACAGAAGGCAAGATGGCAGTGATGGTGTGGATTCATGGCACTGGTTTGGCCAGTTTCAGTTCCTCCCCTAAATTCCGTGGCTTTTCCATTGGTTCCTCTTCTGAATATCCGCCTCACGTTTTAGCAGGCTACAATGATGTCATTGTTGTGACATTCAACTACAGGCTAGGAATTCTGGGATTCTTAAATAGCGTTCCTGGGACAGAGAAAACGGGAAATTACGGAATGTTTGATCAGGTAACCAGCTTCAGTGAAGAAATGTTGCATTAATTCGACACAAGACATAATATACTAATAGGACACCTGGGAGGCACGCAAGCACGTGTTCTCAAAGCGCACTAGCCCCGAAATTCACAACAGTTATGACAATCTCTTGCCCCCTCTCCCTTTCCCTCGTTCTTTTGCTCTGTTGATCGGCACACCCTACTATCCCCAATGTTCCTCTTTTCGAGTTCCTGAACTCCAGGGGCGAATCTAGGGGAGGGTGCAAGGGATGCCCACCCCTCCCCCTGCGAAGGGGTCCTGACAACTGGTATTGTTCTAAATATGCAGATATGTATGATACATATTCTCAACAGTTCACATTATCTTGTTGCCCAGTCAAGAGCCTTCTTCTTCGTGTTCGCTTGTGAAATTTGTTTACGTCGTCAGTCAGTTACGCCATTCCTTAGTTGTGCACCCTCTTCTAAGAAAAATCCTGGATCCGCCCCTGAACTCACAACTTTCCAAAAGGAGGCCATGTGCAAACCTTTTTCGTTTAATAATTTATTTGCATGAGAATAAACAAATCATTCTTGATATCAATGTCATCGTATATTAGAATCGCTTTAACACAGAGGCCTGAAGCATCTCGAAAAATGGCCTATAATATACTAGAAACAGTACAGACAACACCTTGGTCCTCCCAACAATGCAACAGAGCATGTCCAGGACAAGGCCGCTATGGTGTATTTAAGTGAAAGGCTAGGTTTATCTTCCTATTTTCATTTTTATTTATTTTTTTCACAAACAATAGCGAACAATCCCACCACAACAGAAGGGTTAGACTCTGGGGAAAACAAAACTAACCTTTTCCCCCTGGAGCTGACATTTAGCGTATATTTTCTCTACAGATTCAAGCACTAACGTGGGTCCGAGACAATATTGCCCGTTTTGGTGGTGATCCCGACAAAGTGACTGTGTTTGGTCAAGGTACAGGGGCAACGAGTGTCGCTTTGCATCTTATGTCGCCTAAATCAAAAAAACTGTTCCAAAGGGCCATCATGCAAAGCGGTGCAGCGTTAGCTCCCTACCTACCAAGAAAGGCAGCCAACGAGTCAGTACAAAAGCTAGCTGCTGATGCAAACTGCTCTTTTGACGACAAGCTCATCGACTGTCTTCGTGGTAAAAGTGCTCAAAAAATCATTGAGTTGCAATCTTCGATCTCCTCCAAACACGCAGAAGCTCTGATAGAACTCAGCAACCCAGTGATTGATGATGATTTTCTAGAAGAATCTACTGAGAAGCTGTATGAACATCACAAGAAAGGAAGAAAACCACCTCATTCTCTGTTGAAAAAACTCTTTCCAAATGTTGAAATCATGACTGGGTTTACAACCCACGAGTCATCTCTTGATGTCATCCAAAGGCAAGAGGATGCGACCCAAGATGGTATTTCGAAAAGCAGCATTGTAAAAACCCTCAAATATGGAAACATAGAAAACAAAATTGTGGACGAGCTGGTTAAGTACCAGTACGCGGATCATTCTGACACATTAAAGAGAGACAGGATGATTGAAAGTGACTTTATGACTGTGGCACCAATGACTTTTGAGGCAATCGCTTTAGCTGAGGTATTCTCAGTAGCCATAATAATCAACACGTTGACTCATAAGCCCCAAAACTGTTAATGTTTGGACACAGGGAGAATATCCGGGCATAGGTGCGGCATTTGAACACGTCCCCTTTCCACTCTCTGGGTATTTTCACCACAAATTTGGAACCAAACTGCAGTTTTATTATCTCCAGAAAGGGATATTTTATCAAACTTAAACTATTTTCCTATCCAAAAAATTGCAAAAAATATTCAAATCCCGCACCTATCCCCGACTCTCCCCCAGGTCCAAACATCTAATTTGATACCTGGATAAATTAGCCGTTGGTGCGGTTAAATTGGTGGAGAACCTTGCATCGACGAGTAGAAGTCATTTGGGGCACGCCATCGATATAAATTGGGTTTTTAGACGAAACAGATCAATTCATCCTTCAACTCAATTCCACTTCATATCCCAAAATAGTTTTTTCCTTATTCTTTCACGAGGCATTGGTTTCACGTCAAACTCATCGAACACGCTATAACCCCATAGTACGGCGAAACATGTTCTTTTGCATGACTCCATGATGAAAGTAAACAGATGAAATTTATCGCTGGATAACTTAAATGGAAGCGAGACTTTTTAACTAACAGATAATGAACTAAAGGCCTGGATGGGAAATGATCCACTACTTAAGGTCGCAATAGGCCATTTTCACTATAACGGCATTTAACTTCAGCTAGCAGAACTCATTTCGTTTTAGCTTTTATTCCAGCTAAGTTTTAAAACCCGAATTTGTAAAAGAAAACAACAAAAGGAAGGATTCTGGAACTTACTGTAATTTGATGTCATCGTACAAACGTCGCATTAACCGTGGTCCCGTTTCCCCCACTCTATTGGTCCATACAAACACCTGTAGTTTGACCAGTCAAAAAATACCGAAGGGGCACCAACTGACTCTATTAATTGTCTCACTACTTCTTCTTCTCCAGGCTAATAATTCTGTTTATTTCTACGTGTTTGAGCATCGACCTGATTTTTCCCAACTTCCCGAGGTGACGGGTGCAATCCACGGTGATGACATTGGCTTTGTATTTGGAGCACCTTTCGCGAAAATTTCACCTCTGGTAGAGTCTTTCACTCCCAGATATTCTGATATTGAGACGGGACTCAGCAGGTACATCATGAAGCTGTGGACAGACTTTGCTAAGTTCGGGTAAGAAGATAAGAAAGGCGTTTTGTCCTAACACTTTTCAGGCTTCAAAGACGCCCCTAACTACGTTAACTTTTTTGTTGTCAGTTTGTTTGTTTGTTTGTTACAATCAGTTAAGACATTTATGGTACGTTTAGTCCAGGAACATTTGAGACAATGAACAAAATCTTATACTCATAGTGCATGTGTCAATGGAATGAAACTTATTTTCTTTTACACGATCTCCGTTCACATCACCAACAGGTGTGTATTTAAAGGTTTCAAACTAAGTTGGATACTCTTTTTTGGAGACAGATTCACTTTTTTGGTACTCTGCATTTCTTATTAGGAATTCTATAATCATTGCAATGCTGTTACACATTTCACTTCCAATTTAGAGATATCATTCACGAACATGATAGCCTGTTCAGGCGTTCAGCTGGTGGAGTTTAGCACCAAGTCACCCTACCCCCTCCCTGTTTTTCCTACTCACATCTTTTTGCGCCTTCCCACAACCTAAACGCTTAAACAGGCGACGGACATGGGAGACGACAGCCCCTCTTGGTAAGATGCGCTTAACCTTATAGAATAAAAAGGCAAAGGAAAACGCAAAGTCCCCCTGGGAAGTCTCATAAAAGTTCTGCTCTGTATCTAGAGGGGCAAAGTTTCTTTGTTAAAGTAATTACGTTACTTCTTAAATGAAGACTTGTGTGATCTACGCATGATCATAAACTTAGGTTATTATCATATTGTCATTAAGTGATTTTGCCTCGTTTTCAGGGATCCTACTGGCCGCGATTATCCTGTCAAGTGGCCAAAGTTCACCAAAGAAAACCAATCCTACCTGGCCCTTGACGTGAAGCCCGAGAAAAGGAACAAGTATAGAGCAAAAGAAGTGGCATTTTGGAACAACTTCATTCCAAGGGTTATAAGAAAATCTAAAAAGCATTGCTCGTCATTTTAACTCCAAGGCGTCACGTTCGTTTAACTATTGTTCAAAGAATTTTCTTCTTTTGCTGGAACAAGGGGTTAGGTTGAAATATCTTGTTCCTTTGAGTAATCTTAAAAAGGTTAAACTTTACTAGTAAACCTGGGATAAGCTCTATAAGACGATATACATATTATGGGATTGGTTCTGCTGGGAACCGGTGACGTCATTCAACTGGGTGCCACTTTGTTTTTACTGAAAAATTAGCGTTACTGTTATGTCAGTACTATCAAGTCAAGAAACTATAAATATTTTTTCTCACATGAGGACTTAACTGCACTATTTTATAAAATAACTAATATAGAACGCGCGCTCTGATTGGCTGAGAGGCGTGTTTGCATAATAGTATGTAAACACAGTTGTGACCTCGAGATGTTTTGCTTTTCGCGCGCTAATCACGCAAGCACGAATTTGAAAAAGGTTTTTGAGTTGAAAACTCGACAAGTCATGGATATTATCTATGGACAAGTTTACTTTATTTACTCATTCCCTCGTAGGCTGAAACTTGGAAAATCTTTACAAACATGCTGTGTCATTTTATTTCCGTTAAGTTGGCGTTTTAACCGAGAAAAATCCGTATTTTGGAAGACACCTTTTCGCATAACAAGAACTGATTACGCGTGCAAAACTTGGTAAGAATTTCTCTTTCAATTAGAGCCATAACAAAGATTTTTGCGTTTTTTCGCAGGAAAATTGATTTATATGCGATAGAAAACTTTTTTCATGGATTTGCAAGCCCTGATATAAACTCTGGAGGGGTTGGGAGAATTCTCGATAGTGATGCAAACCCGAGACGAAGTCTCGGGTTTGCATAACTGTCTCAAATTTTCCCAACCTCTCTCGTGTTTATATCAGGGTATGCAAACACGGAAAAAGGTTTCTATCGCCTAAATAATCAATCCTTCTGTTGCTTTCAGTACTGCTCTGTTTCATCTGGATACAAGGTGCTAAAAACCCATAATTTTAAGCAAGGTTTATATGGACTTATTTCACTTATGAAGTCCTAACTCGTAACCACAGTAAGACTCGTGACATGTGTTTAACCCAGCAAAAAATACCACTTTTCACTAGCTTAAAGTTTAGAAGTATTTGCATGATTTACTAGCTGATTAAAAATGTTTAAATTAATAAATAACCACATTTGTAAGCCCACGTAATAGTATTTGTCAGCGGCATTCAATACCCTAGACCACACCCTCTTATTAAGACTGACATTACATTTTAACTTTTCAAGCACTACTCTGTAATGGTTCTCATCATACTTATCGGGCTTCTCTCCGAGAGTAAATTTTGGTGAAAGCACATTTTCGTCCAGATGTCTAGAGTACGGTTTCCCACAAGACTCCTCACTTGGACCTTTACTATTTACTTTGTATATTGCCCTCTTGAAAATGTGAGACACGGTTATAATCTTAATTGTATGTTCTATGATGACGATAGTCAAGTTTATGTTTCTATTAGCCCTAACCACCGGAACAATGATACTACCGATACCCTTCAGCATGAGTGTATTTTTTCATGGAACAGTGAGAACATGCCTAAGTAGTATTCAGTTGTAGCCGACTGATTATATACAGAGCAGATATGGATTTGTCCCAAGCGGGTAAACGAAAAATATTCGTATTTTGGACTATTTGATGACGGCTGCAAATTATAGTTTTGAAGTTAAACAGTTCCTTCTCGATCGGCGAGAAGAACATTTTAGCCCACTGTTAATGGTTGATGGGGCTTCGTAATTTGAAACTAAAAATGAAAGCAATAAGCTAATATTGCCAAGTTATTAAAAGGGTTTTCCATGGAGAAACCTGGTTTTGTGCAGTAAGAATAGGAAGTTTTTTTGGAGACATGCTGCAGCGCTGTTCAGAGAATCGAAGAGAACATTAGTACGCTGTATTCAGTTATTAAGTCAGCTAAATTTTTAAAAACTGCTTGGCTTATAGTAACACGGAGCAGAAGATATAACTGGTAATGAAAGAGATCCTGATAGTTCGAACAAAACAGTACTGAATGTATATAAGTAGGTTGAGTTTGATCGTCCGGGTGAACGTAGTCCTGAATAGGACTGTTGTTGTCGACAGTGATTGACGTTTCGACAACCTGTGCGGTAGTCATCTTCGGAGTCAAAAGAACTTGAGTCCTATTCAGGACTACGTTCACCCGGACGATCAAACGCAACCTACTTATGAAAATAATGACTCCTGGGTTCAAACCTTTCACAATACAATGTACCTTAACGAAAAGCAATTTGAGTTATCGGGGTCGATTTAATACACTGTATTCAATTTGCCAGTGACGTAGGTGCCTTTAAGCCATTAATAACAGACTTAACAAAATTTGGGGTCAGAATTGTACAGAATTAGCTCATGTAATTGCATGTGACATGCACCTATAATGGCCAAGCTTCGCTGTGTTACAGAGATCGCCTTGACATCACCGCTCTCATGTGTGAACAGAAGCCATATCCTGTATGGTTTTTCGAGCCGACACAAGAGCTATCCGGTATAATGTTAACACTGAGTCGAATCTGTCGCTTGGCCATCTTGTTTTTCAACCACGGTACAAACGTTGTAAGGGCCCTCTTTGTTTACGTTGATTACATATCAGAATCATGTTGGTCAAAAACTCCCAATTTTGAAGGGTCTCAGCTCGTAAGTAACGTCTAGTAAACCGTTTTCTCCTCGTTCGTTTGTTTTTCGAAGATAAAGTCAATAAAGTAAATTAATTCAATTTTACAATTGTCAACTAAGAAGATACACTAAGCGAATTAATTGAAGACCTTAAAACTGAGAAGGTCGCCATTGCACTCGCCCTCGTTTTTCTCCTCTCCATGCCAGTGTCCACTGCGACTTCAGGGACATGGTTTGTTTACTATAATTCACAAAAACGTTCCGGGAAAACCGGTCGGAAAGTAAATGGAACACGACTTTTTGAATCGTTTCATGGAGAATTTTCGGGGTAACGGAACTTCTGAAAAGGAAGTCCTGTTTTTCCAGACAAAATGTTCCAAACGAAACTGAAATCGTGTTCCATTTCTTCAAAAGCCACGTTTGATACCAGTTTTAGGTTTTCGTGGTCGTTTTTCGGTAAATAGAACTGATTTGTACAAGTGGTAAACGCGATTCCGGGATGAAATCTGCTAGTCCTGAATTTTGAATAGCATTTGTCCAAACCGTGGGCCGACCGGTTTGCCGATATTAGTGGTAAACTTACCATGATTTTTCCTCTAGGGGGGGGGGGGGGGGGGGATAAAAACTTTAGTTTCATGTTTTTTCTTGAAACTTTTTTTACAAAAAATTACCCTATTGCCTAAATTTTTAAAATTATATTTGAAATGATTAAAAAGGGCTAACCCAGTTGTAAATAAGAATAAGAAAATCAACAGGGG